CCAAAGCATCTTACCTTTAGTCATCTTTGTCTTGAAGAATCCCCTCTTCCACCCCCTATCCTCCTCTTTTTCCTCCATATGGCAGCACAGCGGCTCAGTGGCTAGCACTGTTGCCTCACAGCAAGAATGCTTCCGGTTCAGATCCCAGTTGGCATTTCTGTCTGGAGTTCATGTTCTCCCCGTGCTCGCGTGGGTTTTCCCCGGGTCCTCCGGTTTCCTCCCACAGTCCAAAACAAGAGATATAAGTAAATTGACTACACCAAATCAGCACCATAGTCAAATTCCACCAGCAACAAACCCTCATAGAAATCCTTAGGCAGCAGGAGTGGGGTTCTCGAGATCTACCTGAGCTCAAGCTCCCCTCTTGCCCAACAAACGGAAGAGAGCCCTGGGCTCGAGGATCACAAGAGCTCAGGTCTCTCTCTCTGGACAGCATGCCAAACTAGCTTATTACCAATCATCAGCTAAGTGTGAACTCTTGAAAAGCAGTCCATATAAACTATCAATGTGCGTGACATCCCTTCAGCCTCTTCAGTTTCTTCAGTAAATCAAATATATAGAGGGTTTGATTAATATTCTCACCATTCGTTTCCATACCAGATGAAAACCAAAATCAAAACAGGTATTTAAAAATTGTCCATATGAATGTCAATATTTATTACTCGCCTTTCCAAACTTTACACTGATTTTTGTCAATCAAATGCAAATATAGATGTTTTTAAGAATGTTCCCGCTGCTCTCTTACACATATATTAACAATAAGTGGTAACCTCCTCCAAATATACTGTAGCAAAATGCACCATACAAATATTGAACTATCAATATGATAACTGCGTATGGAAAAGACACACCATGGCCACTTTGCTTTCATTGCATGCTCGTTGTTCACCACAGCGTCAACATTCTGCAGTAAATATCTCCTTTTATAAAGAAACATACAGGTCGGGCTCGATAATTATTTTTTCATATTGAACGGTACGGATATATATTTCGATATAAGTTGTTAATGTTTACATATTTAAAAGAGTACCCCAACAATGACTGAAGCCACAAAACTTAGAGAGGCCATTAAATGCCACATATTATCAAAAGATAAACCTTCGGTGGCTGAAAATTCAGTACATCTCTAATATCAACACACTTTTAGATTCCCATTGTCGCACATTTCTGCTGTGTGATTAGCTCTTAGATCAAAACAGAGTCAAAAAGTCCAGAGCCTATTAACAATGCGATTTGATATAATATTGTTTATCAGCCCAGCCCTACATACAGATCATGTCATACAGGTTTTCATTCGTATTTTTAAGCCAAAAATGTCTTTAAAGAGAGCGAGAATGAGGTAAAAGAAGAGAAAGTGGCTCAGTGCTAGCCGAGCATGTGTTCTTTAGGTTAACGGAGGGTCAAGTCGAGAACTGCCTGAGGGGGAAGGGCTGTCCTCTCACCCTGATGGTGGCTGTCCATTTCTAGATCAACTTGGCTGAGCTCCAGGTCTTTTAAATCTGACTGGACGTCAAGCTCGCACACACATATGCAGCCCTCATACCTGCCGCCTGTATATCAAATGCCACTAGGTTTGTTGTTGTTTTTTTGGCCGAAGGCAAAGAGAGGCGCTGACTTCTTGACTGGTTTAAACCGGTTGGCTTCACTTGCATGCCTCTGTTGAAGACAATTTAGAAAACACATGCATACGCATACATACCTGAATAAACCGTTTATGAATGTGCCATACAATGACAAGGTGGACAGTTGAGAGATATACATTGTGATGTAAAAATGATGGGTTTCAAAATAATGAATTATTGTTATGAAGATAAACGCAACACAGACAAGCTCATTTGAAGTCTGAAAATCGCACATGTGTGAAAATATCTGTTTGGCATAGAGATGGATAAATATGTTCCTTTGCATGCTCTTCACTTGTCTATCAGTTGACCCGCACATTTGCATATGTATTTATGCAGATTTTTGAGGGGGCTCTCACACACAGCAGGGGTCTCGGAGTGTCACGGTTTCTCACTGTGAATTTGTGCGTCTTTGTGCTTGATTCCGCTGGGTATGTCTATGTGTGTGTGTAAGTGTGATAGTCTACGTTGCTCTGTTTTTTCGATCTATCTGTTTTCTCCATCTTTCTGTTGACGTCTCTTTTTCACATTCTTCATTATGTCTGTGTATATGTGTGCCATACCACCTCTCCGACCTCACAAAGTGGGCCACAACTTCCAGATGGTGCTCTGTAGCTTTGTTTGGTAAGTGAATACTTGAGCCGTATACGACCTATCAATATCGCCGCTGAATGTAGAAAGCGCCGCCTATACATTCACCGCCGTCTATGAATAGTTTCAGTTTTTCCACATCTCTGTTTATATGAGATCTGATTTATTTTTGATAAAGTGTGGGTTAAACTAGCCAAGGCCATCCACGTTAAGGTGGGGGTCGCTCAGACGTGCTCTCCTCGTCCATTGACTTCATCCTCGATTCTGAGGAGTTCAGGAAACAGCCACTACAGTGGGGAAATAGTTTGACCTTTCACTGCTCTCTGGCAGAAATGCAACTACAGAATTACTTTTGACTGAAATCATTGAGACAAAAAGCAACCGTGTCCTTGATTTGTTGAGTTTTGCTCTTGAAGGCACATACATACAAGTCTTGACCTTTGAGCTTATGTTAAAGTTCAGCTAAAGATAAGAAAACAACCTGTTGTAATTTACTTACTCTGAGCCATTCTACAACTCCTTTTTTCATTAAACACTAAGGTACTTTATGGGAAGAATGTTCAAATGGAGGTCATGCTCTTTCCTTACTATGAACCACTTTCCTTACAGTGACCAAATATGAAAGAAAAGCACCAGAACAAGCAGAATAATGAATAGATTCAATTAAAGGATTTTGCTATTAAACGTATAATGACAGGTTTGGTGTAACTCATGGCAAAAGTCAGTGACATTAGGTACATGTTTACAGTAAAAAGCAAAAATAAAGAAAGAAAGAAATATATATATATATATACACACAGTTGAAGTAAGAATTATTAGCCTCCCTTTGAATTTTTATTTTCTTTTTTAAATATTTCCCAGATGATGTTTAACAAAGCAAGGAAATTTTCTGAGTATGTCTGATAATATTTTTTCTTCTGGAGAAAGTCTTATTTGTTTTAGTTCGGCTAGAATTAAAGCAGTTTTACATTTTTTTTCAACACCATTTTAAGGACAAAATTATTAGCCCCTACCCCTATAGGCTCTTTTTTTCCTGATAGTCTATAGAGCAAACCATGGTTATACAATAACTTGCCTAATTACCCTAACCTGCCTAGTTAACCTAATTAACCTAGTTAAGCCTTTAATGGCACTTTAAGCTGCATAAAAGTGTATTGAAAAATATCCAGTCAAATATTATTTACTGTCATCATGGCTAAGATAAAATAAATCAGTTATGAGAGATGAGTTATCAAAACTATTATGTTTAGAAACATGTTAAAGAAACCTTCTCTCTGTTAAACAGAAATTGGGGAAAAAAATAAACAGGGGCGCTAATAATTCTGACTTCAACTGTATTTGTATATATATATATATATATATATATATATATATATATATATATATATATATATATATATATATATATATATATATATAGATATATATATTAGGGGTTGAACGACTTTAGATTTTTGTAATTCAACTTTTATGTTATCAAAGTAGAGTAGATGTCGACTAGTCGCTGGTGATATCATCAATAAAACACAAACATGCAGATGTTTTGCAACATACCTCAAATTGCAATCTATTTGCAGGAAATTTATCCACATGCGGTTTGACAGCTCATAACATGTTGCAAAACCAACACAACATTACTAATGACTAATTTTAGTGCAAAACAAATGCACTGTCAACAATTTCATTTTGTAAATAATGCATTAGCACCCAGGCTAATTTTACTGCTAAATAAATGCAGTCAACACATTAATCACTGCACATTCTAGTAAGAATGTAAGAATAACAGATATTTTAGTGTAGAAGTAATGCATACATCCTCAGCACACAGATTCATGTGAAGTTATTCATAACATAGTGCACGAAAGACAAAGACTAATAACGTTAAGCCATATTACACTGTCAGAGACTTGCTCAGACATACACTTTACTGCTATGATAGTGCTCGATAATAATCCTGCAACAATTGGCCGTTTTTCGTGTTTACTGGCTCCACGCTGCACATCTTCACCGGGGATGATGTTTACACATGCTGTAATGTTTGTCACATGTGACTGCGCAGTTTACAATTTTTGCGCACTTCATGGTTTATTCACAAAATATGTCTGCGTTTACGCTTCAAAGAGGACAACAGCCAATTACATTACTTTTCTAGGGTTGTGTAAACGTGATTGGTTAGCATATGCTTTAGGGTATTTGCATAGAGCGATCTAATTGGCTTTTGTTTGATGATTTAAAGTTCACTCAAAGTTTACGTGAATCTTTGACGCTGACATAATAAAAATTACATTTTAAAATTACTTAAAATAATCAAAGGGCTGTTTCATTCAGTGAACCACCTTTGTGTGTAAAGCTGCTATGCATGTAGTTCAGGTCCAAAAACACGTGATGACTAGTCGACGTCAGTCAAAAAGCATCATGGCATTAAAGCATTAAAGTCGACTAGTCGGTGCAACCCCTAATATAAATATATATATATATATATATATATATATATATATATATATATATATATATATATATATATATATATATATAACTAGCATTTATCTATCTATAAACATTGAAAATGTGTCTTCAGATTTGCAGATAATGAGAATACGTCGGTTAAGTAATACAAAACTCTCCATATATATATAAAATATTTAAGAAATAATCCATAAAATTGACTGAAAAACAGTAGCATGAACATTCATTAAAATATCTCCTTTCATGTTTTACATGTCTAATTATGTTTAGTCTGTGGTTTAATCCCTTTCTCTTCATTCTGGCTTTCTCTTCATTCATTAGCCCTGACAAACAAAATACAGTGTCCAGAAGTGCTATCTGTCTAGCCAGGGAGCAGATGTCCCATCACGGGCCTGTAGCGTCTCACCCCGTCAGCTGTCAGCGGCCCGAAACAATCTTTGAGCTCAGAGAGAGCGCAGCTCCAATTAAAGAGGTTAATTTGCTTCAGCACTTATCTGTCCATCGATGTATTTCTTTCTGTATCAGCCTGTCCTGCTCTTCTCAGAGTCTCTTTGTCTCTCTCTTTCTTTCGTTCATTCATTATACCTCTCATCTTAGAGTCCCTTGTCTCAGTTTTTTTTCTTATCCACTGTTCCTCTTTCTGGAGTTTGTTTGCCTCTCTTGCATTTGAGGAACACACCGTGCTGACATTACGGCTGTAACAAATTGAGCACTTGTAGAATGCAGGCATGAAACCGTCACAAAGCTTCCATTCAGCTTCTTACCGACTGAACATAAAGGCCCATGACAGTTTAAGTGGCGTGTTGAGTTTGCATGTGAAAGCGTGTCTACTGATGTTTACAGCAAGAAAGAGGGTTTGATGAGAAGGTTGAAACAATGCTTGTGTGTGAAAACCAGACGGACAGTGTTACACGCTTCCATCGCCGTGAAAATCTGTCATCCCATTTAGCGGTACGGTATAAATGCGTTGACGTGCATAGATCATTACACTTTATGTGCATATAATGTTGGTTTGCTGAACTACAGTGGAATTGTGACCAGTGTTGGGGGTAATGCATTATTACACAAGTAGTGTGAGTTATGTGATCAGATTACATTTTTCAAGTAACTCGTAGGGCTGTGCGATTTGAGGAAAATATCTAATAGCATTATTTTGTTTTTGACAGATATTGCGATTTCGATTTGACTTGCGATTTAATTTGATTGTCAAGCTTCAGAATAATAATCTGTAGCTTCTTACTGCTAAAATGAAGTGAGTGTTAGTTAAAAAAGGAGCTGAAAAGACATTATCTTACTTCAAAATTTATTCAAATTTATTTAAAAATATTTAGAAATGAAACACTAATTTTTTTCTAAAGCAAGCAGGAACACAAATAAAATGACCTTACCTTTCTGTTAACAAGTTGAACTCAAATTAGAGAGAGTGTAACTTATTATAAAAACCAGAAATAATATTGTATAAATAATATAATATAAAATTATAGAACACAGAACTTTCAGCAAACTAACATGGCTGAAACAACTCTGAAATTGTATTTGTTGTTGCTTGCTACTAGATTGAGTGGCACTGGCAGTACTTTTATTTGACTTTGAAATCCAAATATTCCCATATTACTGATGTTCTGTTTTTCTTTGATATTTTTTAGTCTATTAGTGCTTCTGAAGCGGCAAGTGCCATTATCCCACTCATCTGCTCTTTCCTGTTTGTCTGTTTGTTTGTTTGTTTGTTTTTTTAATTTTGGGCATTCTGCATAGTTCTGTTGCACAACTGTGATTGGGCAGAACAAAAGTGTGCTCACTCAATTGGCTAGTAAGACTTTCACAACCAGTCACATTCGTTCAAGGCGTTAGAGTTCTAAAGTCAAATTTATTAGCCCCCTTGTTTATTTTTTTTTTCCCTAATTTCTGTTTAGTGGCGAGAAGATTTTTTTTCAACACATTTCTGAACATAATAGTTTTAATAACCCATTTATAATAACTCATTTTTTATTTATTTATTTTTTTATCTTTGCCATGATAACAGTAACAAAATATTTGATTAGACTTTTTCAAGACACTTCTATACAGCTTAAAGTGACATTTAAAGGCTAAACTAAATTAATAAGGTTAACTAGGCAGGTTAGGGTAATTAGGAAAGTCATTGTATAACGGTGGTTTGTTCTGTAGACTATCGAAAAAAATATATAGCTTAAAAGTACTAATAATTCTGATCTTAAAATGGTGTTTAAAAAAATTTAAACTGCTTTTATTCTAGCCGAAATAAAACAAATAAGAGTTTATCCAGAAGAAAAAATATTATCAGACATACTGTGAACATTTCTTTGTTCTGTTAACCATCATTTGGGAAATATTTAAAAAAGAAAAAAAAATTCAAAGGGGGGGCTAATACTTCTGACTTCAACTGTACATTTCATATCGCAGCCTCGCGATTGCGATTTGATTTCGATTAATTGCACAGCCCTTGTAACTAGTAAAGTAATTGATTACATGTTAAAGGATTAGTTCACCCAAAAATGAAAATTCATTTATGAATTACTCACGCTCATTTAATTCAACCCCCAGAGATCTTTCTTTCATCTTTGGAACATAAATTAAGATATTTTAGATGAAATCCCACAGCTCTGGCATCCTCCATAGACAGCAATGGTCCTGAGATGTTCGGAAAAGGAGCCAAAAACATTGTCAAAACTTTGCATGTGAAACATTGCATTCCAAGAACACTTTTCTGCAAAAAAAAAAAAAAAAAAAAAACCTGTAAAAACAACTTTGCCAGTGTCCTCTCTTCCTCATCAGGCCATCAGAGAGCGGATTTAGTACAGAATGTGCATTTACTACTTTCCTACAATGATATATTGCGATTAGAGTCAGCAGCGAAACACACAACCATCGTATTTCCTGTAGTAAACACTCACCCTAATCAAATGCAGAAGACACTTTCAAAATAAGGTAATTTAATGCACTAAAGTGTTATTAAGATTCACATGGAATGTTTTTGGTTCTTCTTCTATACTTTAAATGTCTGGGGACTCTTGCTGTCAATAGAGGATGAGAGAGGTCTCAGATTTAACCTAAAATATTGTCATTTTTGTTCCAAAGATAAACGAAGAAGAGATTAGAACAAAATGAAGGTGAGTAATTAATAATTACAATTTTTTGGATAAAAAAAAGGTCGCTGGTTTGAGTCCCAGCTGGGCCAGTTAATTTTTCTGTGTGGAGTTTGCATGTTCTCTTCGTGTTCGTGTGGGTTTCCTCCGGGTGCTCAGGTTTCCCCCACAGTCTAAAGACTGTGCTATAGTTGAATTGGGTAAATTAAATTAGCTGTAGTGCATGTGTGTGAATGTGAGAGTGCACAGGTGTTTTTCAGTGCTGGGTTGCAGCTGGAAAGCATCCACTGCGTAAAACATATGCTGGATAAGTTGGTGGGTTATTCTGCTGTGGCGACCCCTGATAAATAAAAGGACTAAGCCGAAGGAAAACGAATGAATGAATGAATAAAAAAGGGACAATAAGATGGAGAAGGGAGTGAACTTGATCATACCAATATGGCTCAGTCATTAGTAAGGCATTACTTTTAAAAGTAACTTTCCCCCAACCCTGCTATGAACCATTGAGTCTAGCGACCTGTCATCATTTTTATGAGCCGTTTAATAGGACCGGTCCATTTAGAAAGCAAATCTAAACTTTGATCCCCCCCTGCACTCGTTGCTCTTGTCATGTATTGATGGTCTGGATGTGAATGGATCATCTCCTCTGTCCCTTGCCCTTTTCCGTGAACCCCTGCCCTCCAAGCCTGTCAGAGGGAACTATCGCAGACAGACACACACAGAGACTCTGTCACACACACAAAGACACGTATAAACCCAGAGGCCCGTCACACTGAGAGGACAGATGCCCTCGTTGTGGTGTAGAGACTCCTCAGTATTTTCCTGTCATGTATGAAGAGGCGGAGGTCTTCTTGTGAGTACACATGTGGTAAAGTATTTTGCTAAGCAAGTCAGTTTATGAGAAATCTAGTTGTTTAAGGGGGATTCACATTTTGACAAGTGCTTAAGAAATTGTTTTAGCAATTCATTTTGTTTTGTTGGGTCTGACTTTGAGATCGCCTGGTGCTGAAATCCATCTCAATCATAAACTATTTATAATAGTTCAACAGTATACTGATGGCATCATATGGTAATACTAATACTGTAGTATACTTTGACATAATGCTTGGAGATAAATGCGAAACATAAAGGAGTGATTCTTAACAAAGCTCAAGAAAATTTCCAGGGGAGTTTTAATATGACTAAAAATATGTCAACAACAAATTAATATGAAAAACTTAATTTAACATAATTTTTTCCAGATAAATAATCTGTTGAACTGCATCCCAGTCATCACAAATAGAAATACTGCAGAAGACCTATTGGAATTATGGTTTGGAGTTACATTCAGTTTCAGCCTGAGGTATCAAGACATTTGTGCTGCCCATTACTTAATAAAACACAGGAGAGGGCAAATTCATCAGCAGGATAGCGCTCCTTTTCATAGTTTAGCCTCCACATCCACATCCACAGTTCCTAAAAGCAAAAAAGTCAAGGTGCTTCAGGATTTGCCAGCCCAGTCAGCAGACATGAACATTGTTGAGCAAGATGGAGGAGGAGGCATGATCATATTTTATTTTGGTAAAATAAGCATAATCTATAGGCCTTTGGATTTCATATAATATATAGAGATAGATAGATAAATAGACAGACAGACAGACAGACAGACAGACATAGAGTTCAAATTATAGAGTTAAAGCTTGTTTGGCATGTTATCCCGGGAGAGAGCCCTGAGCTCATAAGATCCTCGACCCCAGGGCTTCCTCCCATTTGCAAGGTGAGAGAGGAGTTTAAGCTCAGGAAAATCTTCTCCTCTGTAGCTAATGAACAGATAGGTGCATGTCTATGGTGCCAATTTGGATTAGTCAATTAACTTAAGTTGCACGTTTTTGAACAATGGGAGGAAGATAATATGGTATTACCATGGTTCTTGCACACAAACCTATGGCAATACCAACATAATTAAGAATGCCTTCTGTATATATTGTATAAATGTATATATATATATATATATATATATATATATATATATATATATATATATATATATATATATATATATATATATATACATATAAATAATTTAATTACACTACGGAATGGCTTTACAGGCACTTATGTTGACTTATTTTCTACTGAAAGAGGAAGTTAGGACAAAGCCTGACAAATGTACAACATTTACATATATGTGTGAATTATAAATTGCTGTTATTATTGTTGTAGCTCAATGTTGAGCATGTCAAGCATTTGATTGGACAAAAAAAAGCATTTTGATTTGATGTGAAAGATAAATTATTAACAATTTTTTGTCTATTTATTTATTTTTTTTTGCAAGAATAAGACAAGTTATATTTAAATTGTGTATATCTGCTCGGTTTTTGAGATATTT